CCCAGCCTCCCAGCCTCAGTCCATTCCTTGTGAAGTTCACTCAAATTCTTGAATCGCTTTTGCTTGACAATCCTCATAATTCTCTCGGTTTCTTTTAACATGCTTGGATACAGCACTCTGTGAACAGCCCGCTTCTTTGGCAATGAATGTTTGTGGCTCCTTGTGAAGGGTGTCAATGATTGTCTTCTGGACAACTGTCAGATCAGCAGTCTTCCCCATGATTGTGTAGCCTAGTGAACCAAACTGAGAGACCATTTTGAAGGCTCAGGAAACCTTTGCAGGTGTTTTGAGTTGATTAGCTGATTGGCATGTCACCATATTCTAATTTGTTGAGATAGTGAATTGGTGGGTTTTTGTTAAATGTGAGCCAAAATCATCCCAATTAAAAGAACCAAAGACTTAAACTACTTCAGTCTGTGTGCATTGAATTTATTTAATACATGAGTTTCACAATTCGAGTTGAATTACTGAAATAAATGAACTTTTCCACGACATTCTAATTTATTGAGATGCACCTGTACTTGTACATGGAGGAGACGTTTAATCCAGCTCCATTTTTTCCAGCTGACAGCTGTCCATTTTCACCTATACAAGTGAACAGAACACTGAGCATCAGCAGCTAATGAGGCGCGTTGGAGTGACGTCACCGCCCCTCTTCATCTGATTGGCTAGAGGAGGAGCTGTGGAAACAAGAGCGAAGGGAAAAACAGCATAAGCACACAAAAAAAAAAATATGAGCAAAAAATGTCTGAGAGCAGAAAAAACAGAAATATAACCAAGGAAAACATGATTTTGTGTGCAAGTCAGACAATTTTGCATTAATATTTCAATTTTGTGCTATATGATTTTAAAACGTGTATAAAGTTTTGATTCATGCTTATTATTTTTTTTAAATGCGTTATTAATTTTTTGATTTACGTTATTCTGAAAACTTTGCTTTCATTTTTAAATCTTGTGCAATATATTTTTACTTGTGTTTTTAAATTTAGTTTTCACGCTTGTTATTTTTTTATCCGTGACTGCAATACTTTAGGCGGGATTCTGATCCCATAGCAAAGAGGTTTGCATACTTGAGCTAAGGAAAGAGGGTTGTACTAGAAATGCAAACAGTAAAAATTTGTGTGTGTACAGTAAACAGGTGTGTGTGAGATCATGAAGATTTGTATTTGGCTTATTCAGTTATATGTTATACCTATCTATGCAATACAGTGGGATACAACGCTTTTTGGTATATAAGTTTAGCATTCAAACATTTTATATATATATATATATATATATATATATATATATATATATATATATTATACCCTCATTGGGGGCTAAAATGAAAATCCTAGAATCGCCCCTGTTACAGAGTCATTCTCTGGTGTCGACTGTCAAACTGTGCTTGTCTTTAAGGCCTCAACACATTTCTAGAAAGCGCAATGAATAAACACAGTTCAGCATATGATAAATAAGCAACAGCTATATGAGCCCGGTGAATAGCACAAACCATGATCGCAGCTAATTCATTGCATCATAACACGGACTGGATCAGGCCACGCGGGTCATGAGTTCCTCCAGCGCTCGCTCTCTGTGGTTCTCATGCACCAGAAGAACCTCCTTAATAGCGTTCTGCTGGAAGCCCATTTCATGAAACTGAGCAAGAAGGTGAAGGAACTCCTCAGCCTAAAATAGAGGAACAAATGAGGTTACAATATACACTAACAATCAAAGGTTTGTGGATGGTCAAATTATTATTATTATTACTTTTATCCTGCAAGGACGCACTTAATTGATAAAAAGTGACAAAAACGGTAACACTTTAGTATAGGGACCAATTAACTAGTTGCTTATTAGCTTGCCTATCATTAACATATTGGCTGTTTATTAATATTTATAAAACACATATTCTGTATGACCATATTCTACATCCTGAATCCTACCCAATACCTAAACTTGGCAACTAACTATTAATAAGCAGCAAATTAGGAGTTTGAGGCAAAAGTTGTACTTAATGGTTTGTTAATGGCGATAATTGGACCTTTAAATAAAGTGACGAAAAAAACATTTATAATGATACAAAACGTTCTATTTCAAATAAATGCAGTTCTTTTTAACTTTCTATTCATCATAGAATTCTGAAAAACAAAAAAAACTTTTCTCAAAAATATGAAGCAGCACAACTGTTTTCAACATTGATAATAACAAGAAATGTTTCTTGAGCAGCAAATTAGCATATTAGAATGATTTCTGAAGGATCATGTGACACTGAAGACTGGAGGAATGATGCTGAAAATTCAGCTTTACATCACAGGAATAAATTACATTTTTAAACATTCATATAAAAAAAACAGAAATAATATTTCACAATATTACTGTTTTTACTGATCAAATAAATGCAACCTTGGTGAGCAGAAGAGACTGATTTGAGGTATCAAGTTTGCAGCAGTCATACACTTACCTTGGTCTCACAGTTCTGAAACATCTCAAGTGCTTCTTCAACCTGAGCTTCATCATAGCCGAGTTCACATAACCGATCACACGCTACCAGATAACTCAAGATCTGCAAGAGAACAATCAAACAATCCTTCATACTGTACATGCACACATAGCAACATGGATCACTTTAACGGCAGGAACGTAATTGAAGAAAAGCCCTCTGATATTCTTGAACACCATGAAAACAAGGCCAGGTTGAGTTCTAATGGACTTTTGGGGAGCACTGGTTTATCCCCTAACACTACGTAATTAGATAAACTGATCTGGTTATTGGGCGCTCTATTGACGCAACAGTACTTCATCCTAACTGTGGACTTATGAATGATCATTAGCTGAATGGGAGCTATCATAATTCATGATAAGACTGGATGTCAGGCTCAGAGTGGACTGAAAGCGGAGCGGTGTGAAACGTGAGAAGCTTGTGGATAAGAGCCACGGAGGACCGGCTGGGTCTGATTAATCTTTGTAACAAGATGAGCTTTGTTGATTCAAATCTGATCATCCTTCCCATGCAGCTGTCTGATGTCTTGCTGAGCGGCTCACTGGGCAACTGAGGATTTTTGTATTTTTTTTTTTAATATGTCATATAGATTTTATTATTCTTTATTAGTTTATAATTGTATTTATTAGTTTATTTAGTACTTCAAATAAACTAAGTTTACTGTGCATTTTAGTACTTCAAAATGAAAATGAGAAAAGTTGCCTTTCCAACTACATGAAATATACACACACACACATATTATGAGGCGCCAAACAGGAAATAATTATGTACATTCTGAATATATATATGCAAATCTGAATATATAAATGTAAATTTGAATATATAGAAGTAAATCTGAATATATAAATATACATTTAAATACATCTTTATTATCAAGCATGTCAAAAGACAGATGTTCTTAATTATTATTTTTATTAAAACAATATGCCTATACATCCTGAATGCATCAATGTGGATATTGTACTATATTAATTACTGTAAGTGCATATCACTTATCTAAAACAAATGGAGTATTTTTACTGTATTTTACAAAAGGCTGGCCGTAGCACCAAAAGGTCCTCACAATTCAACATAGCTACATATTTTGCCAGCTCTTGTCCGGTGTAAAACAGTCACTGTATCTAGTTTTGCTATTCCAATATAAATAAATGTTATCACGTAGCATTTTTTCCCTTTACTAGGTACAATATTTCAAAGAATCACCTGGAAAATTTATGTGATATTGGTTTTAGTTGGACCACTATATCTCAGAAGCTATGTAGTAGAGTCAGGACTTTATTTAATCACAGAAGGGAACTATGGCTGGAAGAGAATGGGGGATTTACACCTCTCTCTGATATGGAGCTTGATCACCATATAATCAACATCCTGTCATCTATACCTTATTCTGGGGAAACATATATTCAAGGCAGCTTGAGAGGCAGAAGACTTAGGCCCAATCCCAATTCTACCCCTTAGCCCTTCCCCTTTCCCCTACCCCTCCGTTTCGTGCGTTCACGTGAAGGGGTAGGGGTGTCTCGATTTTTTGGTCGGAGGGGTAGGGGAAGGGCCAGACAGCCCTTCAAATGAAGATTTTTCGGGACCACACTTCAAACAAAGGGGCATGAATTATCTCAGTGTAAACCGGCTTCAGGGGCAACATGGCTGCCCGAGTGAACAAAAAAAAACACATAAATGTAAGCATTTTTGGCATTAATAAAGATTTTAACAAAAAGTAATCATTTGTTTTATGTTACATTCAATCGTGAGTTCATATTTACGGTCATGCTACTCAAAGAAATGTTTGCAAAAAATCGCTAAAGTTTGCTAACGTCATATATAGACTGCACGATAGTGCCACAACATATTTTCATGTCTGATCAGGGCGATAACCACCATAGACATTGAGGAGGGCTAGTACCCCCAATAATTAGAAATTGCTAAACCCTTTTCTGAAATATCGCCAATTCGAGAGAGAGAGCGAGAGAGAGAGAGCGAGAGAGAGAGAGAGAGAGAGATGAAAGTTGCATGTATGCGCGTTTCTCTTTTTGAGAGTTTACTTCAAAAACAGCGATTTTATCCTCACATTGCTGGAAAATATAATGTAGCAATTCAGTATTTAAACTGTTATTAATAAAAGTCGTGGGGCAGCGTTGACAAGTATCTTTGCCCCTGGATGTGTGAGCTGCGCGATCTCTGATATGTATGTGTGTGTGTGTGTGTGTCAGTAAGCAGCGCATTAATACAGAACGGTAATTAAAGACTCTAATGCACACCAGCACACCAGTATAGGTGTGTGTATTGTAGGAGCTAGATGACGTATGATGACGTGTGACGTATAGTAGTGGTGTCCCAATTCTTAGGGGAATATTTTCACCCCTACCCCTTGACACTGTTTCAAAGGACAAGGGGAAGGGGTATAAAATAGAATTGGGATTGGGCCAATCAACAATGGAGAGTTCAACAATGGAGAGTACGGGAGCATGTACTTGTATATATTCAGAATTGTCTCTATATATTCAGATTAACATTTATATATTCAGATTTACATTTATATAATCAGATTTGACTTTTGGTAGTACCTAGGATAGCAAAGTCCACTAAAGGAGGCAGAGCTTTTTCACATTTGGCTCCCAAACTCTGGAATAGCCTTCCTGATAACGTTCGGGGTTCAGACACACTCTCTGTCGGTTTAAATCTAGATTAAAGACACATCTCTTTGGCCAAGCATTCAAATAATGCATCTCATAATCTTGTACTGCAGTTATATCTGATCAAATGCACATTATTATTCTTTAGTTTGCCTTAAACCGCATAAACACATTTCATTACACCAAATACACAAATATTGTTCTTTTTAGCAGCATCATATGACCCCTTTAAGTTCAATTGCTACCTTAAATTTGTAAGCATAATCAACTTGGTTGTATAAGTCATTTCAACTGAAACTATGTTAAACTGACTTTAAAAAATAGAATTGAATGTTATATAACTAATATAACTCACATAACTAATTTGATGAGTTAAATGAATGAAAAACAAGTTGCCATGACTTACTGATTATAACATTTTTATACAGCATACTGAACTTAGAGAAAAAAAATATTAGTCTCTATAAAAGCTGCAGATATGAGTAACACAAAAATCTTTGCTTTAGTATTTGAAATAGGTCTACTTTTTATTTTTTATTTTTTAAGTCATCCAAACTATGAAATAACACAAATGAAAGTATGACAATTATTTATATATTATTTAGTTTCATATAATATTATTATATACATTTTTAATAAATATGAATAAATGCTATATTATTACATTACATTAATCTATGATTTATATTTCATTTCAGATTTATTTCAATGAACAATTTAATTTTTAATTTCAGTGAATTTAAAATATTACTTTTATAAAGCATTTCAAACGTAGTCTAAATGTTTTTATTATTATTATGAGAAACATAATTGTGGTCAGTGTTCATAGTGCATGTTCATAAGCACACTGACAACTGAACTATACTGGTAACCCAGCATGCACTTTGATTGACCTTCCCCTGTGATACACCAAGGACGGTGCAGAGAATCTCAGCATTACATCTCGACCCGCGAATGAGTCCCATCTCTTATTTCAGACTGAATCCCTGTAACAGATCTCCCTCACTGACCTGCTCTGGACCCTGCTGGCCAGTTTTCTGGAGGGCGATGATGGCCGTACGGAGAGGGTAGCCCCGCTCGGTCACCGCCGCCAGCAGCTCCCTCTCCTCTGGGCTCAGAGCGGAGAGCAGCTCGACCCAAGAGTCCAGGACGGCAGCGTGGGAATTGAGTGGCCGTGACGGGGCCAGGGGGGAGAATGAACCCTGGGCCTGGAAAAAACAACAACAGTGCCTCATGGTCACAGTACCCTTGAGAGATGAGGGCAGGAAACACAATACTGAGAAAATCTAGAATGATAAACACCATTGTTGGTGCAAGGTTTGATTCACACTTTAAAACAATGTTTTAAAAAGGTTCTGAAAACATTTGCATCAATTCTTTTGTTAGACGCATTTACCTAAAGTGATTTACGGCATACTCAAGATGTCCATTTTATCAGTACGTGTATTTCTTGGGAATCGAACCTATGACCTTGGTGTTATTAAAGGCACAACATGTAAGTTTTTTTATTAAAATATCCAAAAACCACTAGAACAGTGCTATATATTTTGCTGACTTGTGTACTTACATTATCCCAAATGTTTCGAAGAATGTTTAAGTCCAGAGAAATAAGCAATTTTAACTAGTGACACGGACCGTGTCTATCGTGTCATTGTGTCGCCTGCCAATGACGTCCTAACCCCTCGATTTCTGGTTTTGTTTTGTAGAAAACATGGAAACACCAAAGATGCTTTAATATGTTGTGCGTTTTATTAGACCGGTGACGACCGCACCGAGTAGCATAATAACAGAACTTTCTAATGCATCTAGTATGATAAAACAGCACTGCTTTACCCCACATACGCACGACCGGAAGGAGCGGAAGCGGTCGACTGTGGCATAATAAAAGCTCTGCTGCTTTCGAGCCGCGTGTCACGCTCGTTCAGCGGCCTCGTTTCGCTTCGACGGCTTTCAGCCTCACCCTGCTTCATTCAACCACGTTAATAACTCATCATCCATGAACATGATTTCTGCCTGAGTCCCGTCGGCTGTGGGGATGAAGACGACAACTCCCATGATTCCACACTCAGTCACAGCGTCATCAAACTACGCCTTTGCCTCTGTTTATTTTGAATACTCGCCCTCCAGCGGCGAAAATTACATATTGTGCCTTTTAATGCCATTTTCTACCAGCTGAGTTACAGAAAGATAAACAAAAAAATAAATTAAAATATATCCACAAGAAACTATCACCGAGGTCCACGTGCCTTAAGGTTCACCCAAAAATGAAAATTCTGTCATCATTTAGCTACTGACGTCCATAGTACTTTTTCCATACTATGGAAGTCAATGGCTACCGTCAACTGTTTGGTCACCAACATTCTTCAAAGTATCTTCTTTTGTGCTCAACAGAATAAAGAAACCCATACAGGTTTGCAACAACTTGAGAGTGAGTAAATGATGACAGGATTTTCATGCATAAAAATATTATGCATGTTATCAAAGACTATAAAATACCCAAGACGTGTCACTCAAAGTTTTAAATGGGGAAAAATGCAACGCTCAATATTGCCGCTCTATTGAACGAAGCCCCACCTTCTAAGTAAAAGAGCCAATCGCTAATCTGTAAAGTCAGCGCGCCACTGCAGCTGCCCTTAGAAGTCCCGGTTGCTATAGAAACAGTCAGCGTTCTGAGATGTGCGCTCAAGACTGCACATGCGCACTGGCTGGTCTAGCCTGAAAAATAAGCTGTTTTTAACGCTATTTGAGCAAAAGAAACAACATTTATAAGACAGTTGTTGTCAAATTTAATTGGTGATTTTAAATATGAAATTTAATCTTAAACTTTGCGAACAGTTTTGGAGAATTTGATGTTTCCCCATTCAAAGAGATAGGAGCTGCACTTGCATGCCCGAGAGGCGTTTCAAAGATGGCCGCCGAGTGACATGACTTGCCTTGAAGGGACTTTGATATTATTTAGCAAACCTGTAACCACCTAAGTTTGAGATAAAATGACAATTTTAAGCAATTTTAGCCAATTTACCATAGAAATACTGTATGCTGTATGCTGTATTTAACCTGTTATAGCGCCACCTATTGCCCAATCTGCATAAATGTTTGCATGATTCTTCAGAGTCACGTTGCACAGTTTTGAGATTTTGTTTAGGAATTATAGGCTTTTGGGTTAATTTAAGTCATGCCCATATTTTAAATGACCCTGTTATAAGCCATTCAAATACAAAAGTTCACAAAGTGTTCACTTGAATCTCCAATGAAGCCTGGAAGAAATATCCAAACATGGAATAAAACAACAGCAAAGGTCTTTTCCCGTTCATGTCTTAAAAAACACTGTAAATGTAAATGAAAAAACCGTCAAGAACAACTACAAGCCTCCTGCCATATTCAGTGCACCGTGGCCGCACGGCCTAGCAGGAGATGATGTCAGGAGCATTAATAACGTGTTGGATTAGACTGTCAACAAAAGCGTAACCTTGAATCGAAGCTTTGCTGTGAAAGACATTTCCCAAGCACTTCCACTCACTAATCCAGACGAATTTGTTGCAGCTTGGGAAGATTCCAGGAAAAGACTTAGCACTCGCTATTATTAGCTAGTTCATCTTCTGAGACATTACAGAAATGTGCACCAAAAAAAAGAGAGAAGTACTTCGGAGAAGTCATTCATGTGTAATATCTGAATGAATTAAATGGGACACTCAGACAGTCGTTTCATAAGGAACAACAAAATACTGTGCAGTCACAGTGAGACATATTAGCAGGATTTACAATGAATGCTTCTGGAATGTTTTGAGAAATTACTAAATGCTTCTGGACCTGATGTCTCTTGCTCAAGTGATTAAAATGCCTTTCTAGACTTATTGGAAGCATGTCCGTTAAAGCCATTTATAGCAGGGCCAACAGTTGCCTTCTAAGGACAGCTGTTATTGTGAGCTTCAGTGAATTGGCAACTGTGAAAAGGTCTTCTTTCAAAGACATACAACATATTTTGTAAATAGATTAAAGAGATGAGTTATCTGTGCCTGTATTTATACTCCCAAAGAGTACAAACTGTAATTTCAGGTACATCAAAACTTACCCAAACATGTCCAGTAAAAGGGAGTGTCTTTATTTAAAGTGTTTATTGTTTCAGAGCCACTAATGACCTGCCATTTGCAGTAAATTTGAACCACAACTTCAGGCATCTAGATCAGGGGTGGCCAACATCGGTCCTGGAGAGCCACAGTCCTGCAGAGCTTTGTTCCAACCTTGATAAAAACTCACCTTCCTGCTGCTTTTAGTAACCCCTAGACCAGCGGTTCCCAAACCGGGGTGCGCGCACCCCTAGGGGTGCACAGACCGACCCAGCAGGGGTCCGCGAGAGAATGCTTTTGATGATTTGTGTGCATTTTTTGAAGGGGCAAGTGAAAGAGAATTTTACTTGCCCGACCGGACAACTAACCTAATCTAATTAAAACATCGAATTAGGGAAGCACCAAAATTTCGGCGAGAATGATTCTGATTTTATTACACTTGGTGTAAACGGCAATTAATAATGGATAATCAATAGTAACAAGGTCGCGGCAGTTGAGACTCACGTGAGACAATCTCATGGAGAAATCGAAACGAACACAACTGCACACAGAAGAAACATACTGTGAAACATACTTTCAAATTTAAAAGTAACTTTTTTTTGTTGCATTTTTTTTTACAACGTTTCATATTTGTAAATAAAAAAAAAACTGATGTAAAACAGCTCACAGCATTATTTATGCTGTTGTAATTTTGCAGTGTTAATGCATTCATGCTACATTTCAGCTTCATTAAATTGTCTGTGTAAATGCATCTAAATGCCACTTCAGCTGCTTCTGTTTCTCCAGCAGTGGAAAATTTGGTTTCGTTAATACTGATTTCATTTGATTGGTAACAGTCCTATAGAGTCTTATCATATTAAGTGAAATTATTAATAAAATGTAAGAATTTGATATGAAAGATGACATGCATTTAATAAGGTTAGGGGGAAATGCCCTTTTTATAGGCAAAAAAAAAAAGGACCTGGAAATCAATTCAAATACATTTTAATATGCAGTAACTTCAGTCATATAAAACGTAATTTTCCAGCAACAAAATTGTGGCCAGTGAAAATGCTGAGTGGCTAGTAATTTTGGAAAACCACTAGCCACAGTGGCTGGTGAGCAAAAGAGTTAATGTCAAGCCTTGTATACAGTGAATACTTGTATTTATACTTGTATTGCAGTAAAAAATGTTTAACCGGAGTACAGTGGTGGGGGTGCTTGACATGTGTCAAACCCTAGAAAGGGGTGCACGCTGCAAAAAGTTTGGGAACCACTGCCCTAGACCTTGATTAGCTTGTTCAGGTGTGTTTGATTAGGGTTGGAGCTGATGTCTGCAGGACTGTGGCCCTCCAGGACTAAAATTGGCCATCCCAGATCTAGATTAACCATGTTTCGGTTTTCTTTTCAATGCACTTTGTATTCTAGTGACATCTAAATGCTGAGAAGGATGTGCGCATATGTTTTGGTCATTAGTAGATGAGTGTGCACAAAATCATTATACTTTCAGTCCCATTGCTCGAATTCAAAAGGATAACATTTGAATAGTATCTCTTTTTCCCACCGACAGCATTAACGACAGATATCACTGAAACAGCAGACCTGAAAAGTCACACTTGGTCTCTGTGACACTTCTACAACATTGTAAAAATAAACAAAACTGCATTCTGGTTTGTTGACATGTTTTTGGAGGCTCTGGATCATGTTTGGTTTAATGTCACATTTACCTTTGCAAGGCAAAAATTATGTTGAGCGAAATGCAGGCATCTCAAAAGGAACAAGCACAAACAGGAATTTTGCACGAGGAACTTCCAGCTGTGAAAAAATTTCCCTACATAGATTTTGAATCACGCAAACAGGGCTTGACGCGTACCTTTTTCCCAAGGAGCACATTAAAAAAATTTAGGGGAGCAATGCAAATTTTTCAAATTATGTGTTTTAGCTTAATAAGGGGATATAAGGAGACATTTACAAACACAATTATTTAATTTATCAGAATACAGAAAGTAGGTTTTTAAATAATTTTGCTTCAGACTCTATTTAATACACTGTAAAAAATGATTGTGATTTTAACAGTAAAAGACTGTAAAAATACTACAGTAAAAACCTGTTAACTGGTTAACAGTAAGCTTCATACTATATAAGGTGAATAAATGTAATTACATTTAATGCAATTTTACAGTAAAAAAAACTGTTAAAAATACGGTTTTTGGAAGTGAAAAAGAAAAAGTCATTGTATAATTTACAATGAAAAACTGTAAATTGACTCCCAGAATTCCCTGCATGACACTTCATATTTGTTGTTTTTTTTGATAACATGTTTCTTCTTTGTTTTTTCTTATCAGATGTGTACATTAGGGTTTAAACTTACATCTAATGTTGTTAAATTAAAGTTGATTGCATTATTTCAGTTTCATGTGTGTCACCATGATGGGGTTTAGTGTTTGTGTGAATGACACCGTGTGCACCTTCTATATAATAACTACCCTCCTCAGCTCGTATAAAAGCTGTTTGTGATTGGTTCATCATGTGACTTTCTCATCACCACCAGTTTTTGGTGGTTATCAGTGCATGTCAATGGTTCAAAACAGATATTAGTATTTCAATATTTTGGTTTATTAACATTACATCAGTTAATGAAATACGGTATTTTATTGTGAATTTAAGTTAAATCTGTAAAACCTAAAATGCTGCTACCATATTTTTTACGGTGAAGTTCTGGCAACCACAGCTGCCGGTATTTTACCGTAAATGTCACAGATTAATTTTTTTACAGTGTAGGCTATGTATGTAATTATTTATAGTCCTATTAAATTGTATGTACATGTGACCGTATCAAATTTTCACAATAGTCGTTGAAGCTTTTATCATATGGTTTTATCACAATATATAAGTTAAGTAAAAAAAAAAAGGGTTGCCCTCCTAACAGGTTAAATAACTACACAAAAAAACAAATAAATAAAAAATATATAAAGTAAACAAGTGTTTCAAGATTAGAGTGAACTAAAGAACATTAGGTAACACTTTACAATAAGGACCCATTAGTTAACTTTAGTTAAAACAGGTTAACATTAACAATGTGCAAATAGCTAATTGTTGCCACGTAGTTAATATTATTTGTCAACGTTGATTAATAGAAACACAACTGTTAGTTCATGTTAGCTCCATTAATATTAGCAGACACAACTTTTGATTTTATTATGTATTATTAAATTGAAATGAACATGAACTAAGATTAATAAACGCAGTCATTGTTATTTCATGTTAACTAATGTCAATGGATCCTGTTAAGTATTACCGAACAATAATAACGAATCAGTCAATATATAAGTATGCCATGTTTTAGGTTTGATTAAAATAAAACAAAATAAGCAGCTTATTAAGTCTTTAAGTATTAATTATTTGGTGCTATGGTGAAGACTAAAGTGAATATAAATATCTAAAGGACTGTTTGAAACAGAAAGTAGTGCCGCTGCTTTGTTTACAGGGTTACCGGGGTCCCGCCTTCTCATCTGTGCTATTTAAATTCAATCGTCGTTAACAGTAAGTTTCCATACTATATTCGGTGAATAAATGTAATTACATATATTGTGATTCTACAGTAAAATACTGTAATTGTGTACTGTGGTTTTTGGAAGTGAAAAAGAAAAAGTCATTGTATAATTTACAATGAAAAACTGTAAATTGACTCCCAGAATTCCCTGCATGACACTTCATATTTGTTGTTTTTTTTGATAACATGTTTCTTCTTTGTTTTTTCTTATCAGATGTGTACATTAGGGTTTAAACTTACATCTAATGTTGTTAAATTAAAGTTGATTGCATTATTTCAGTTTCATGTGTGTCACCATGATGGGGTTTAGTGTTTGTGTGAATGACACCGTGTGCACCTTCTATATAATAACTACCCTCCTCAGCTCGTATAAAAGCTGTTTGTGATTGGTTCATCATGTGACTTTCTCATCACCACCAGTTTTTGGTGGTTATCAGTGCATGTCAATGGTTCAAAACAGATATTAGTATTTCAATATTTTGGTTTATTAACATTACATCAGTTAATGAAATACGGTATTTTATTGTGAATTTAAGTTAAATCTGTAAAACCTAAAATGCTGCTACCATATTTTTTACGGTGAAGTTCTGGCAACCACAGCTGCCGGTATTTTACCGTAAATGTCACAGATTAATTTTTTTACAGTGTAGGCTATGTATGTAATTATTTATAGTCCTATTAAATTGTATGTACATGTGACCGTATCAAATTTTCACAATAGTCGTTGAAGCTTTTATCATATGGTTTTATCACAATATATAAGTTAAGTAAAAAAAAAAGTGTTGTCCTCCTAACAGGTTAAATAACTACACAAAAAAACAAATAAATAAAAAATATATAAAGTAAACAAGTGTTTCAAGATTAGAGTGAACTAAAGAACATTAGGTAACACTTTACAATAAGGACCCATTAGTTAACTTTAGTTAAAACAGGTTAACATTAACAATGTGCAAATAGCTAATTGTTGCCACGTAGTTAATATTATTTGTCAACGTTGATTAATAGAAACACAACTGTTAGTTCATGTTAGCTCCATTAATATTAGCAGACACAACTTTTGATTTTATTATGTATTATTAAATTGAAATGAACATGAACTAAGATTAATAAACGCAGTCATTGTTATTTCATGTTAACTAATGTCAATGGATCCTGTTAAGTATTACCGAACAATAATAACGAATCAGTCAATATATAAGTATGCCATGTTTTAGGTTTGATTAAAATAAAACAAAATAAGCAGCTTATTAAGTCTTTAAGTATTAATTATTTGGTGCTATGGTGAAGACTAAAGTGAATATAAATATCTAAAGGACTGTTTGAAACAGAAAGTAGTGCCGCTGCTTTGTTTACAGGGTTACCGGGGTCCCGCCTTCTCATCTGTGCTATTTAAATTCAATCGTCGCCTTTTTAAAGTTCAATAATCATATGAGGCTGTATCGCTGTTTTCCCATAAATAAATTGAAGAAATTAATACATTTGTTATAGGCTACCGTGTAAGTTAGGATGTTTAATACATTTTATTCGCACTCATTCTCCTAAATACATTTTCCAGTTCGCACATGGCTATTTTTAGTCGCAAATGCGAGTGAAATGCTCGCACTGTCAAGCCCTGGCAAATTGAAATCTGCATAGTTTGAAAGTGACATCTGTGTGACTGGTACTTCAAGCAACAAAAAAGGTCCATTGTCAGTAGTGTCACAGTGCACGAAATGTTCCACTGAAATTTTGCCTATGTGACTGCACCGTAATACTATGACTAAGGTCCTAAATGGTATACTTGATTTGGATTTGTTGTCTTGTGGCCTCCACTTATGTGCATCTGTGAGGTCTATGAGAACACAGAGTGTCCCATTTGTAGCTTTAGGTTTCAAAAAGCTTATTTTTGCATGTAAAAATCCATAAACACATTTTAGCACTTTAGCACTTCTGGTTCTATTGTCCCACAATTAACCCATATTTTTTGATGGGTATTTGGTTAAGTGTAAAACAGTAAAACCACTTGTAATTTTTTTAAAGCTTGTGCTTGTCTTAAAGGGGTCATATGATGCGATTTCAAGTTTTCCTTTCTCTTTGGAGTGTTACAAGCTGATTGTGCATAGATAAGATCCCTGAAGTTGCAAAGACTAAAGTCTCAAAACCAAAGAGATATTCTTTATCAAAGTTAAGACTCTGCCACGCCCCCCTAAAACAGCTCGTTCTAACACGCCCCCACATATCTACCTCACTATGTGGGAATATTTGCATAATGCCGCCCAAATGTGCTGCAAAGAAAGAAGGTGTGGTTTCCGTAACCGCAGTTAGTGTTGAAGCAGCATGTCAGGGAGACGCTGTGTGTTTCTAGGCGAAAGCAAAAGCACTTTATTTGGCCTTCCGAAAGTAGATGCATTTAGGAATCTTTAAGATTACTTACAACAGAACAGCAATGCATTTTATGGACGACCGTTTCGTGAACCTAGGAGAGGAGGTAATTCTGACTTTGCTATGACAATCTGGCGCTTCTGAATCAGCTACTGTTTTGTTATTAGTTTAAGTATTTGCTATTGACTGTTCAAATGTGGAGTTTTGTGCATCGTGTGTGTGTGTGTGTGTGCGTGCGCGCGCGCGCGCGCGCGAGCGAGCGAGAACGCGCGAGAGAGAGAGAGAGAGAGCGCGAGAGAGCGAGACACATCACAGTGGAGTCAGCTGTCTTAACCGTGGCTTGTGTACTGCAAACACATACCAGCGTCAAAAAAAAAATAATGCATGGTCGCTTAGAACTTCCGTATCTGGGACATTAAAGGCACAATGTTATTTTTCGCCACTAGAGGGCGCGTATTCAAAATAAACAAAGAGGCAAAGGCGTAGTTTGACGATATGTCATCACTGCAGCATTTGCTAAGTGCCATTGATGCACTTTATTTTAAGGTGTCCTTGTTACAGAGTAATTATACATGTAAGTACTGAATAATATTAATTAACAACATGTACTTACTATATGGTTAGGGTTAGGGTTAGGATTAGGGTTTGGTTTAGGGTTACTTGCATGCAATTATGCATAATTTATTGTTATTATAATAGCAAGTACATGTAGCAGGTGTAATAAGGACACTTTATAATAAATTGTTAGCAGTGCACTTTATTTTATAACCAAAGTGTGAACTCTGAGAAGGATCGTAAGAGTTGAAGCTGAAGATGTCTTACCTTTGGGGTGGGATTGTTGATGCATTCAAACTGTAAATTGTTGGAAGAGATTGTGGAAGATGCATTAGTATGACCAGCAGAGCTCTGACTCCTCTGGAAGTTTCTTTTGGGTGAGTTACACCTGCAGAGGGAAGTCGACGTCCCCTGGAGCTGTGTGGAGAGGCTGCAAAGTGAAGGCAGCTTGAGGAAGTTTGATGATCCACAAGTGTGCAAGTCTTTCAACCCTGGTCCTTGTCTTAGCAAACCCGAACCACCCTGTTTGGACTGTGCTTCACCCTCAGCAAGACCATCTTCTTCTGTAAATTCTTCATCTTCCGAGTCAGAAATGGTGAATCTGACTTGGGCGTTCATCGTGTGGTAGTGCGCAGCGTTTAAGCTGCGGCTTCGGGGACGAGGGTTGGGCTCCCAGAAGTCACTGCTCCAGCGGCTGGCTAACCTGCTCTCCTGAGGGCTGCTGAACATCATCCAGTAAGGAGGACAGGTCGCTGTAGGCTCACAGGAAGAGCGGGGACTGAGGGTTGGATAGCCGCCCTGGAGACCCGTGAGAACCCAGTTCTCCAGGCTGAACACATACTGAAACATCAAAACACAAAAGAGACATCTTTCCATTTGATTTTTACACAATAACATCAATGTCACACATCATCTGATGAGATCTAAACCAAAGTTTTTCATAACTTGCAGTTTACACGCCAAGTCTACATCAAAATGGAGCCAACTGGGAACATGTCAGTCATATTCTGACTACAAACACACAATCTATATTTAACTTGCAACGCTGTTACTTACATTACAGATATCGCAATGTTTTTAATCTACAAACCAGAAAAAAATGCTTATGATGGTTTCATCCTAGAAATAATACACACAATTTTGAAATAAGGCTGGAATAGAGTACATATCTTATGCCCAGATTTTGGCCCAGATTTGCAGTCTAGATGAATTTTCAAAAGTCAGCAGATTTTGGACAGTTGGAATTGGCAGATTTTTCAGGAATTCATGTATTGAATGATGGACACAGTTTCCAATTTTTTTAGCTCCAGATTATGAATGCATGCAGTACGAGGATATCAGACATGTTAGATATTTTAGACACATATGTTTTTAATTTGTCATGCATCTCCAAGCAACAAGATGCATGTTTCTGTGTAAGTTTGTTGCATTCAGAACGACTTGAATGTCTGCTAGGGATAATTATAATAATAATAATAATAATTCCTAATAATTGCATAAATACTGCAGTAACTAGCCCTCATAAAGCAAGATATGCTTTAAGAGTTGCACAAGTAACTTCAACTTCATCTAAATGAATGATGAGCTACTGCTTGAATATTACTAATATTACTGATAATAACTGATAATATAATTACTAACTGTAATATAACCAGTGTTGGGGAAAGTTACTTTTAAAAGTAATGCATTACAATATTGCATTACTCCATAAAAAAAGTAACTCATTACGTTACTTAGTTACTTTTTTATGGAAAGTCATGCGTTACGTTACTTTTGCGCTACTTTTTAAATCTGGACAGTGCTTGCTTGTTTGTTTTTAAAATAAAAAAAGTTATATTTTTGGCAAATATAAAAGTCTTCTCACACCAAAAGTGAAATGAATAAGCCTCAGGCTGAAGGGAAAGTAAATGTACGTCCGTACAGTAGAATGCAGAAGAAGAAATTTCAACACTTCAGCAATAATTTTTGCTTATTAGTACGGTTGAACTGGATCATCGAAGGTCAGAAGCAAAGACATTGGTTAATAGAAAGGGATTAAATACATAAAGGATATTTGTGTTGTTTAACATTTAATTATTGCAGGTTTGCGTCATATTCTGAGTTGCATTATTTTTATTCATTTTGAGGAATACTGAATGTGTTTTTTTTTGTGAGTGAGATAAATTAATGCATATTCACATTTATTTTTGAACTACAGTAACATCTTCTGATTTCTCTCAACATGGGGACAGGAGAGCTGTCAATCAATCAACTGAAAAAAAAGAAACTTGCGTTACTTATTTGAAAAAGTAACTCCGATATTCTCTTGTAAATTAAAAAGTAATGCGTTACTTTACTAGTTACTTGAAAAAAGTAATCTGATTACGTAACTTGCGTTACTTGTAATATATTACCCCCAACACTGAATATAACTAGCTAATATTACTAATCTGAATATTACTAACATCTGCCGTTATCAGCATTATGAATCATAGAGCACCACAAAACAGATGTGAAAAAAGAGAAGTATACACACCAGCCAAATATTACACAACAATTTGCATCCTATTCATGTCCTAAATGCAAAATCAAGTGAGCAACGCTCTAAGGCAGGTACACAATGTTGCTCTTAGATGGAACAAACGACTAAGAATTTACAGAAACTCAAGTTTCAACACATAGCCATAAAAGGTTCAACATTAGCTTATTTCGATTAGATTGTAATAACCTCTGACAGCAGTTTGTTTTCTTTGCAAAGACCTTAACCAGTAACACACAAACTCTTAGGAATTTTATCCCAATGGATCTACAATAACAATTGCATCAACAATATTCCATAGATTACTGACAGCCAAGAACTTCTTTCACCCTTACTGTTTAGTATTTGTAATCAGAGATATAATTATACTGTATTTTTGACATGGTCCTCATGCCAATCGCACAGCTCTGGGCTAAACAAACTAGACTAGACAGATTACATGTCAGCGTAATTAGATTCACAGATGGGAATGGGTTAGATATGGCAGGGATACGCTTACACCAATGCATGTTACAAGTGTCTTTGTATTTTCCCATGACCTTGTTAGCGACAGCCTGTACTATTAATATGAACTAAATTACATTAAGGCCGATGGCTGCTGTAATCAGTGGATGCTCATGGCAAATTACATTGAGCCGAATACAGTTTATGGAAGTCGCAGATACTCTCTTGGAAACCGTCTTTAAGATCTCAGAAACATATACTTTAATTTAGTAGAGTTCCCTTGAGAGGTGCCTTCTCTCAATCTGTGCTGAATATTTATGTGATACAGGCTGCATAAAGTACACTACCTTTCAAATGTTTGGGGTCAGTAAGTTTTTTTTTGTTTTTTTTAAAGAAATAAATACTTTTATTCAGCAAGAATGCATTAAAATAGCTTAAAATTGCCAGTAAAGACATTTGGTTATGAAGAATTTCTGTTTTAAATAAGTGCTCTTTTTCTGTTTCTAAAGAACCCAGAAAAAAATGTGTTTCCATAAAAATACTAAGCAGCACAAGTGTTTTCAAAATTGATAGTTTTAAATAAGTGCTCTTTTTCTGTTTCTAAAGAACCCAGAAAACAATGTGTTTCCATAAAAATACTAAGCAGCACAAGTGTTTTCAAAATTGATAATAATAATAATAATAATACAATTATTGAGCAGCGAATGATGCTGAAAATTCAGGTTTGCATCACAGGAATAAATTACATTTTTAAATATATTCAAATAGAAAACAGTTATTTTAAATTGAAATAATTTTTCACAATTTTACTGTTTTTGCTGTATTTTTTTATCAAATAAATGCAGCCTTGGTGAGCATAAAAGAGCATAAAAAAACATTTTTCAAAGCAATAGTGTATGTGGATGGATGCTTAAGCCATATAAATTTAAATTAATCTTGAAACAAAATATCAAACTAACAAAAAAACATCTCAATATCTTATTTCATTTCAATATCTTACTCATAAGACAGCAATGGAATTAAATGGACAAATAAAACGGATGCTCCAGATTCAATGACCCTCCTCCTGAGAATTATTCTCATCTGAGGTTTCTCTTTCACAAAATCTCAGTCTGGGCTCACAACAAGTGACAACATATTAAAGCCCACAATCAAAAGACTTGAACATTTCTCATCCAGTTCATCCGAGAGCAAACAATCTGAGCTTCTATCCAAATTCATTTTATGGCTATACACACATAACTGCACATCAGTATTTAGTTTATTTTTTAATCGGTTTATTTCTCCCAAGGACTCTTAGCGGAAAAACCTGAGACAAAGTTTATACACACTTCAAAAAGAAGATACAATGTACTTTGATGGTTAAATGTTAGTGGAACATTAACGTAAGGAAATACACCTGCGTGAAACGGAGAAGAACTGACTTCATACATCCACTAAAGTTCATGGGAGCAGCTAGTTAAAAGTAATTCCAAAAATGGCTCAGGAAAAGAATAGCTGCAGTTGTTCGACGATGTGAAACGTGTGTGTGTTAAGTGACCAAATGCATTTTGACGCCAACTGATAACGTCAGGTCAAAAACATCTATTTCAGAGAGTATCAGACCTCAGTTTCCTGCAGTATCTTCAGGTAGTCAGGCAGAGTGATTTCTGGAGCTGGGATGAGCTCCACCTCTTCCTTTGCATCCTCAAGAAAGCCAAGAGGCATCTTAAAGGGCACCTCATCCAGACAGGACATTTCAACCCTATCTGAAACAGAAAAGGCAAATAAAGAAATGTCTGACACCAAACCATCGTAATCTATGCCCCAGATCGCACATGGGTTTTAAATGTACACCATCAGTCAAAAGTATGGAATATTAGAATGATTTCTGAAGGATCATGTGACACTGAAGACTGGAGGAATGATGCTAAAAATTCAGCTTTGCATCACAGGAATAAATTACATTTTAAAATATCTTCAGATAGAAAACAGCTATATTAAATTGTAATAATGTTTCACAATATTACAGGTTTTACTGTTGTTGTTGTTGTTGTTTTGGATCAAATAAATGCAGCATTTGTGAGCCTAAGAACATTAAAAAAATCTTTATTACTCCAAACTTTTGACAGGTAGTGTAATAATGCATGACAAAAACCACAGTCGCATGTTTTTCCCCTGTTCTTGCTTCTCAGAAAGCACGTGTTCTGAACATCTCTATATGTGTTTACCTGTTACACAATAGTAAGGAGACTAGAGGATTAGGGATTAAAGATTACTAAAACTCGACCACCTGACGGTCTCAACGTCACCGCCGTGTACCGTGACACATGCTTCATCAAATGCACACCTGTCAGAAACCGTACTGGGAGAGAGGGTGCATTTTTCTCAAGAGTTATGGTTTGTATGAAAGTAGGCATAGAAATTCTCTTCGGAAAACTTGGCCCAATAGTAATGAAAAAAGCTGCATCCTGCACCAGACGCCTGCTGGTTTGGACAGATGCTCAGATCTGATGCTGCTCCGCACCTTTCGCACCAGATGGTTTTAGATTTCCAATCTGAGCCGAGTCTTAACAGCCAGATGCTCGGTATAAGCTCTTGTGCAAGAAAGAACAATGGAAAGTTCAATAAGTTACAGTATTCTGCCTAAATCATCGGCAGAAGGTACTGGAAGCGAATGAGTAATCTATAACAATGCCTCACTTGAGAAAAGAAATGGTGTAGGATTGACTTATTTCCACTCAGAAATTGCAAAAAGTGGTAACACGCTAAATTAAATGTGAAATTATGAAATTTTACAAATTTTCTTGTAAAACACAATCCAATAATCTTTATTTGCAACTTATCAAGATATCTACAACAAAATATCTGGTCTAGTAATGCTGTGCTGGTAATAGAGAAAAGAGCTTTTAGTCCAAAACCTACTGAAATAAACACTGGAGTATCTCTAAACTAGTAAAATGCTGGTAACACTTTACAACAAGGTTCCATTTGTTAACATTAGTTAACTACATCAGTTAAAATAAACTAACAATGAAAAATGATTCTAAAGCACAGCATAGCTAATCTTAATGTTGTTAATTTACTAATACCTTAATAAAATCAGAAGTTGTATCTGTTAATATTATTTAATGAATCAGAGTTACCATGAACTAACAATGAACAGTTGCCATTTTTTAGTAATTAACATTAAGATGAATAAATACCGTAACAAATGTATTATTGTAAATTGATGTTAGTTATATCGTTAACATTAACTAATAGGACCTTATTTGTAAAGTGTTACCAACATAGTTTGCTTAATTTGACATGACAAAAATTAAATGGATAAAAAAAAAATTTCAGAAATAGTTGTCTTTTAAAATTTTGGGATTTTTAAAAAAACGTATTGCAATACTGTAATGGCATACTGTATTTACTGTACAACTTTTATAATCAAATTAAGATGTTTAATGTAATATCAGCATAAAAAATTTATATTATATTTGAAATGTTAAATATTTCCATATTATACTTAAATACTATAAAACATTTAGAAGTATATCAAATTCTACATTACATTTATATTACATAGACTGAAATCAAACAGCCTTCATTTAAACTGACATTAATGAAAATAATGACTTAATGCACCAAATGCATTTAAATATTATTAAAAAGAACGAAGAATTCCAAATTGAACAAAACATACTTCTAATAGACTGATCTTCCTTCAGATGAATCTCCGTCAAATCCAAGTCTATTATTTACATCAAAGCATTATAATTTTTTTTATGAAAATTAAGAAAAAACCCTATTCTTATTACCATAATGTAAAAAAAAGTATGCATATATATATATATATATATATTTGAAATTATATATTTAACTTCGTAGCATTATTTTAATGAAAATTTAGCACAAACCAATTTTATTCTCATTACTATAATGCAAAAAAGGATTTGTGCTAAATGTTCATGAAAATCATGTTACGTGTATATATATATATATATATATATGTGTGTGTGTGTGTGTGTGTGCGCATATATATACACTATATACACTATAATATAATAACATTTATACATCATAGTAGTATTTATTCCATTAATTTTAATGTGATTTAAATAAAACTAGTATTATATCCATATTGCATCAACGACAACCTAAAAACAATCACCACTGGGAATAATGACAATTTTTTTTAAAATCCAAGCACATTGTGGTAATAAGAATTTGTGTAAAATGCACTTAACAATCATAAAAATAATGTCACAATGTAAAAAAAAAAATTTAAATGGCCGGAAAAAAGCTTCGTTTTCTTTATGCAAAGCATTTCTTAGATTTTAGGATGAAACGTTTTCGTGAGATTCACCCAATCTAGTATCATTTAATCTGGTCACACATTTTGCCAGCCAAACATTTTTTTTCCCCACATGAATGAACAGTCCGTCGGGTCATAACTAAGCATCATTTCTCCAGGGCTGTGGCCCAGATGTCGTCGGCTGGTTGGTCGGGCAGAACCCAGCCCTGAGGAACTGATGTACCGTCAGGGTGTTTGTCAGAAACCAGGAACTGATCCCACTCTCTTCTGTCAGGGGAGATTCACATTCTTTGAGTTATGTCACATTTACTCAGAGTTATTTTTAGAGTTTACATCTGATTTGAAAATAGACCTTATTTGAATAAGAGCAGGAAGGGAGTGCTCTGCCTGTGTGTAGTAATCTAGGAACAGCCGAAGAGGGTGATCAGGTGGCAATTCAGCTAAAGAAAAAGAAAGGAATAGAGTTTACATGCATGCAACTGAACAAATGCACATTTTATTTGATATGAATCTACAAACCCAATTCCAAAAAAGTTGGGACACTGTACAAATTGTGAGTAAAAAAGGAATGGAATAATTTACAAATCTCATAAACTTATATTTTATTCACAATAGAATATAGATAACATATCAAATGTTGAAAGTGAGACATTTTGAAATGTCATGCCAAATATTGGCTCATTTTGGATTTCATGAGAGCTACACAATCCAAAAAAGTTGGGACAGGTAGCAATAAGAGGCCAGAATATATATATATATATATATATGTGTGTGTGTGTGTGCGCATATATATACTATATACACTATAATATAATAACATTTATACATCATAGTAGTATTTATTCCATTAATTTTAATGTGATTTAAATAAAACTAGTATTATATCCATATTGCATCAACGACAACCTAATAACAATCACCACTGGGAATAATGACAATTTTTTTTTAAATCCAAGCACATTGTGGTAATAAGAATTTGTGTAAAATGCACTTAACAATCATAAAAATAATGTCACAATGTAAAAAAAAAAAAAATTTAAATGGCCGGAAAAAAGCTTTGTTTTCTTTATGCAAAGCATTTCTTAGATTTTAGGATGAAACGTTTTCGTGAGATTCACCCAATCTAGTATCATTTAATCTGGTCACACATTTTGCCAGCCAAACATTTTTTTTCATCAGTTTTGTATAATAGGGCAACAAGTGCCATATAAATCCCACTGCACAAAAAGATCAACAGTAGGTTTGTTCTGTACTGTTTCAGGATGTATCTGAACAAACAGTGAAGCACATCCTCAAATAGTACACAGGGGCTCAGAAATAACTATACTGCCAACTTGTGGTGTCTTTAGGAAAACAAGTCTAATGAATGAACAGTGCATCACTAAAAAAATATAGATATAGATGTGTGTGTAAAATTACCTCCAAACAGCATTGTGTCCACCTCTCGTTTCTTCTGCAACAGCTTCTCTTTTTCTTTCTTTAGTCGCTTCTCGCGGTCTCGTTTGCGCTCCTCCTCCTGCTCTCCCTCCAGCATGACTCTCAGAGCTTTCTCCTCTGTCGCATACACAGCCGTGCGCTTACGGATCAGACTCCTCAACCGCTCCAAGTGACCCTCAAATCTCTCATCGCTCTCCTTTCCTGGAAACATGCCTGTTAAAATTGGAAAAATGAATGGAAACTGAGCCTTATACAGTAGGTGAAGTAATTAGGCTAAATGAATTTCTGAAAATGATGAAGAAATTACATTTCTTGAAATTATTTTATTATATCCCAGTTTAATAGCAAATGGCTGCAATATAACAAAGAGTGAACAATTTAAGGGGGTCTGAATACTTTCCGTACCCACTGTATATAGGTGTTTGTAGACTGATTTCTTCAAAAGGTGTGAAGAATAACGTTATACAACCATAAAGTGTCAGATCAATTTCTTGGGGACATTTTTTTTACATTAAATCATGCAAACAAAATGTGACCCTGGACCCACATTAAGTCGCTGGGGTATATTTGTAGCAATAGTAGGGCTGTGAATCTTTGGGTAGACAGCGATTCGATTCACGATTCATAGGTTTTCGATTCGATTCAAGAATGATTTTTGCAAATTTATAATAATTCAATTCAATTCGATTCGATTCTGCATTATTTAAGTGCATTCACAAGATTATTTAAATGCTTCCCCTAAATTCTGTAAATGCTTAGTCAGGCGGAAAATTACAGAGTAGTAGCCTTTATGGTTAGAGAACAATAGGTTAGAGAAAGAAGAAAATAAACACTTTTGTCCATTGTTAGATGCTTGTTTAATGATGCTATGGCATGACATGGCATATGTAAAAATGTATGTAAGCCAAGATTTAAAAAAAAGAGCTTTAAAAGTATTATGTATAGGCTATATTTTGTCACACCAGAGGCGTAGCCATCATTTCAGAAGTGACAGAAATGTCAAATACAATAATTTTATGTATGTA